GATGCTGGGCTTCCTATCCAGGAACACAGCATGCCTTCCCACTTATTCAGGCCTTCTAGTATGTTCCTTAGAAACCCTGGTGGTAGTGGTTAAGAGCTACAGCTGCTAACCAAAAGGTCAACAGTTCGAATCCACCAGGCGCTTTCTGGAAACCCTATGGGGCAGTTCTGCTATGTCCTGTAGGGTTGCTATGAGTTCCAGTGATTCAGCGGCAACGGGTTAGTATGTTCTTTAGTTAACTTACATGAAATTTCTGCATATAAATATTGAACATCTTAAATTTATTGCTAGGTATTTTGCGACCCTCGAGGAGCGGGCTTTCGCCTGTTTGTGAATGTGGAGGGGTGGGAATGAGCTTTGGATCACATCTCAAGCTGAGTGCCGCCCCTGCATGCCGCACCCACCCGCTCCCACAAGGCATCTCCTTTTCCTTCTCCTGGCCCTTGCCCTCCCAGACACCATCCGGAAGATGAAGAACGATTTCCGGAAGATGGAGGACGAGATGGACCGGCTGGCGAACAATATGGCCGTGATCACGGACTTCAGTGCGCGCATCAGCGCAACGCTGCAGGACTGCCACGAGCGCATCACCAAGCTGGCAGGTGGGCTCCGCCCCGTGCCGCCAGTCCCGCTCTGCCCAGGCCTTGTTCTAAAGTGGGCCATCCGCGGGGCTTTGGGGCTAACACCCCACCTCCCACACCCCCAGGGGTCCACGCGCTGCTGCGGAAGCTGCAGTTCCTCTTCGAGCTGCCCTCGCGCCTCACCAAGTGCGTGGAGCTGGGCGCCTACGGGCAGGCGGTGCGCTACCAGGGCCGCGCGCGGGCCGTGCTGCAGCAGTACCAGCACCTGCCCTCCTTCCGCGCCATCCAGGATGACTGCCAGGTCATCACGGCTCGCCTGGCCCAGCAGCTCCGGCAGCGCTTCAGGTAGGCATGCCCTTGGCCCTCAGCGTAGCCCACCTCCGGGCTCCTAGCCACCCGGGCCTCGGAGCCCCACCCACACCGGGCTCCCGCCCCCACCTGCGTGTCTTTCAGCAGCAGTCGCCCTGCCCAGGGCTTTCCTGTCCCCACCATCTTCCGCCTTCCTCACCCAGCCTCTCAGCTGTCCCCTCGGGGCCCCTGCCCCTAACTGCCATCTCTGGCTGCAGGGAGGGTGGCTCGGGTGCCCCTGAGCAGGCCGAGTGCGTGGAGCTGCTGCTGGCCCTGGGCGAGCCGGCCGAGGAGCTTTGCGAGGAGTTCTTGGTGCACGCCCGAGGGCGGCTGGAGGACGAACTGCGGAGCCTGGAGGCTGAGCTGGGGCCCTCTCCACCAGCGCCCGACATCTTAGAGTTCACCGACCGCGGGGGCAGCGGCTTCGTGGGCGGCCTCTGCCAGGTGGCGGCGGCCTACCAGGAGCTGTTTGCGGCCCAGGGCTCGGCTGGGGCCGAGAAGCTGGCAGCCTTCGCCCGCGAGCTGGGCGGCCGGTACTTTGCACTGGTGGAGCGGCGGCTGGCGCAGGAGCAGGGTGGCGGTGACAACTCGCTGCTGGTGCGGGCGCTGGACCGCTTCCACCGGCGCCTGCGGGCACCCGGGGCCCTGCTGGCTGCCGCAGGGCTCGCCGAGGCGGCCACGGAGATTGTGGAGCGGGTGGCCCGTGAGCGCCTGGGTCACCACCTGCAGGGCCTGCGGGCTGCCTTCCTGGGCTGCCTGACCGATGTGCGCCAGGCGCTGGCTGCGCCCCGCCTGACTGGGAAGGAAGGTCCAGGCCTGGCCGAGTTGCTGGCCAACGTGGCCAGCTCCGTCTTGAGCCACATCAAGGCCTCGCTGGCTGCCGTGCACCTCTTCACTGCCAAGGAGGTGTCCTTCTCCAACAAGCCCTACTTCCGGGTATGGCCTGCCTCTGGGCACTCTTTATACATCCTGCAGGTGGCCCTCAGCACCCTTTACCATACTGGGGGGCTGGGAACAGGCAGTCCAGGGCCCTGCCTCAGGCACTCTGGCTGTGGTTTCCGGCTCTCCTGAGGAAGGTGGACACAGACTAGCTGAGCAGGGTTGGGAAGGCTTTGAGGGGTATCTGCAGCCGGGCTGAGAACAAGAGGGAGACAGGATCCTCGGTGCCAGCTCTGTCCCTTCTGTCCCCCTACCCCCAGCCCCACAGTAGGGAGCTACTCTGAGGTCCTGGCATGCAGGGTGAGACTGCTTGTGTTGAGGGGCAGGGTACTTAGGGCCCTGCAGAGGGTCACCAGCAGCCCCTGCCTGGAAGAAGGGGCCTGCTGTGTATCGGCCCCTCCTCCTCACAGGGCGAGTTCTGCAGCCAGGGCGTCCGGGAGGGCCTCATCGTGGGCTTCATCCACTCCATGTGCCAGACGGCTCAGAGCTTCTGCGACAGCCCTGGGGAGAAGGGGGGCGCCACACCACCTGCGCTGCTCCTGCTGCTCTCGCGCCTCTGCCTGGACTACGAGACAGCCACCATCTCCTACATCCTCACCCTCACCGATGAACAGTTTCTGGTGCAGGTACCCGCCAGCTCCAAAACCGACTCTTGGGGGGCAGGGATGGTGGTGCTCTCAGGCCCAGACCGTCAGACCCGCTGCCTGTGCCAACCCCAACCTCCACCTCGCCCAGTCCTGGCCCTGCTGGTTGGCGGTGACCCCAGGCTGCCCCCAGGCCCACAGCCCTCTGCCCTCTGCCTCCCTGGCTCAGGACCAGTCTCCAGTGACACCCGTGAGCGTGCTGTGTGCGGAGGCCAGGGAGACGGCCCGGCGGCTGCTGACCCACTATGTGAAGGTGCAGGGCCTGGTCATATCACAGATGCTGCGTAAGAGCGTGGAGACGCGGGACTGGCTCAGCACCCTGGAGCCACGGAACGTGCGTGCCGTCATGAAGCGGGTGGTGGAGGACACGACGGCTATCGACGTGCAGGTGCTGCCTAGGCTGGCCGCCGGACCCTGACACAGACTGGGGGCACGGGGGGCCACCCTCTGAGGCTCAAGGCATTCAAGAAAGCAGGGGCAGGGCAGTGCCAGCATCCATGGCCTTATTCCTCCTGAGTCCTGGGTGGTGGCATCATTGCCTCAATTTTCCCTTGAGGAAGCTGAGGCCCAGAGTTGCCCCAGAAGCCGGGGCAGGGCTGGGTCTGAAGATTGGGCCTTGGTATTGACTCTGTGTTCCACCTTTGTCATACTCCATGGTGTCTATAGTGACAGGGTACCAACTAGGTACTAGGCCTAGTGGTGATGACCCTGAGATTCTTGTAGCAAATAAGTAGGTAACTTAGGGCATGCTGGGCCTGCTTCTCCAGGGCACCTGGTGTGCTGGAGGTCCCCCATGCCCTGGTCTCCCTGCAGTGCCCCCTTTTACCACCAGGTGGGGCTCCTGTATGAGGAGGGTGTTCGCAAGGCCCAGAGCAGCGACTCCAGCAAGCGGACCTTCTCTGTTTACAGCAGCTCTAGGCAGCAGGGCCGCTACGCGCCCAGCTATACACCCAGGTCTGGCCATGTGGTCGGGACACCCGGGGGGAGTGGGCAGAAGAGGATGAGGGTGCAGGGGGGGCTCTGATTCCTTGTGTTTCCCTCCAGTGCCCCAATGGACACCAACCTCTTGAGCAACATTCAGAAGCTGTTCTCTGAACGCATTGACGTGTTCAGCCCAGTGGAATTCAACAAGGTCCGAGGCCCCAGTGACTCTGCCTTCCCGGGATCCTGGGGAAGGGTGACTGGAGAAGCCCTAGGGCCCAGTCTTGGCCCAGCTGGGTGTGACCCTGGCCCTCCAGTCCGTTTCTCAGCTTCCCCAGGGCTGTTTCTAGGAGTACGTGGTGATCCAGCAACCCACCCTTTCCCATATCTGATCACCCCAGCATCCCACAGCCCCTTCCCCTGACCTTGGTGTGCTCCCAGCTGGCTCAGGGTGCTGACCTAGTATACGTCTTTTGCTCTGTCTTTGTACCCACAGTAAGGAGCCCTGGTGGCGCAGTGGTTAAGCATTCGGCTGCTAACCGAAAGGTCGGTGGTTTGAACCCACCAGCCACTCTGTAGGAGAAAGATGTGGTAGTCTGCTACCATAAAGGTTACAGCCTTGAAAACCCTATGGGGCAGTTCTGCTCTGTCCTTTAGGGTCATTATGAGTCAGAATCGACTCATCGGCAACGGAGTGTACCCACAGTAGTCCTGGGTCCTTCCCAGGGCTTCCTAGTCACACTGTGGTCTCTGCTGCTCCTGACCCTAAGCTCAGGGACCTGGTCTTTCTCTCCTTCTGACTAATGGCCCTCATGTCAGTGCCGACTCCCATCTCTGCCTGAGTGCTGGGCCCCATCCATCTCCTTCCCTCAAGATGATGGTGCTAACCCCATATCCTTCCCTCTTACTGCGTCCTGGGACTTTGTACCCCAGTCCCTGCTTCTGCCACCTTACGTTGCCCTGGCCACTGCCCAGAACTTGGCTGCCCCTTCCCGCAGGATCCCGCCCTCTCCTACCACCTGCTGTCACTGAGCTGCATGCCGGTGTCCCTCCTGCAGGTGTCAGTGCTGACCGGCATCATCAAGATCAGTCTGAAGACGCTGCTGGAGTGCGTGCGGCTGCGCACTTTTGGGCGCTTCGGGCTGCAGCAGGTGCAGGTGGACTGCCACTTCCTGCAGCTCTACCTGTGGCGCTTCGTGGCCGACGAGGAGCTCGTGCACCTGCTGCTGGACGAAGTGGTGGCCTCGGCAGCCCTGCGCTGCCCGGACCCAGTGCCCATGGAGCCCAGCGTTGTCGAGGTCATCTGCGAGCGCGGCTAGTCGCTCGGACCCATCCCACCCGTCCCCTGACCTGCCCAATCAGAGACCCACCTAATAAAGATGCGGTGCCCCCCTTACGGCTCTTGCTTTTTTTCTGCCAGGGGCAGGGCTTTGGGGGTTACGGAGCGCAGCGTCGGGCCCGCCCCCGAGAGCCGATTGGCTGGTCGGCTGGGCCCAGGATGGGCAGGAGGCCGGCCCATTTAAAGGCCTCGGCGCAAGCCGGCCATGGTCTGACTAAGCCGAGACAGGTGCAGGCGCCCTGGACTTGGTCCTCGGCGCCTCCACGCCCATCTCCCGGGGGGTGGGGTGGGCTGTTTTTCCCTGCCAGGCATTGTGAGGGTCCCGCCACCGCCGGCGGAGTGGAGACCATGGCCCCTCACGGCCCTCGAGCCCCGCTGGAATTCGGGGGGCCGCTGGGTAATGAGGCAGAAGAGGGGGCTGGGGCAGGGCTTAGCGAGGGGTGACTGCTGGCGGAGCAGGGGCTGTGGAGGGTAGGGCGGGTAAGACCCAGGGATGGAGGGCTTGCGGGGTACCGGCGGCAGGGGAAGGGTATCTGGAGAGGGAGAGCTGAGCTCTGAGCGGGACCCGTTCTGGGGGCTGCAGCTCGGTGGTTTGTGGAGTGGGGGACTGGGAGGAGTAGGGGGAGACGGAGGAAGGTTTTCGAGGGGGCCTGGGGACGGAGGACCAAGATGGAAGTCAGGGAAGGGGAGTGAGAGGCAGGGGGACCTTGCGGGACAAGTCTAAGAACGGAATCTGGAGGCAGGCGATGAGAATGCTCAGGGTGCCTGTGGAGGTCGAGGGGGAGCAGGAGCCGACGCCCAACGCGATCGTCTTTTTCCTTATCTCCCCGCTCCAGGCGCTGCGGCGCTGATGCTGCTGCTCCCTGCCACCATGTTCTACTTGCTCCTGGTGGCCCGCTCGGGGCCGGCGCGCCTCCTGGGCCCGCCCCCTTACCTGCCGGGGCTCCAGGCGCTGTGGAGCCCGCGGGCGCTGCTGCTGTGTCTCGCCTGGCTCGGCCTACAGGCGGCGCTCTACCTACTGCCGGCGCGCAAGGTGTGGGCTCCGCTCGTGAACGCGCGGTGGGGGGGATAGTCGGGGTAGGAGCTCGGCTAGAAGGCACCACAACCCTTATTAGAGGCCCTCTGTGCCCGCAGGTGGCCGAGGGGCAGGAGTTGAAGGACAAGAGTCGCCTGCAGTACCCCATTAACGGTGCCTGGAGGACGGGCCCTTGCGCGGGGGTTGTGCTGGTGGGAGTGGGGCCTTACCCCTAGGGGGGATCCCTGGAAATTAGCACCCCACCCCACCAAGCACAGCCCGGAGATGCTCCTTGCCCCTCTCCACACCTCTTTTTCCTCCGCAACACCCCATTTGCTGCTCCTCTAGCCCCATGCAGTGACTGGGTGACTCTCTAAAGGCCAAGATGGCAGCCGAATGGCTCGGGGTGAGGTCTGTGTGTGTTGGGGGGAGCGGAGGTGCGCAGCCCCCAGGGCTCACTGTGTGCTGTCTCAGGCTTCCAGGCCCTGGTACTGACAGCCCTGTTAGCAGGGCTGGGGGTGTTAGCCGGTCTGCCCCTGGCGGCGCTCCCAGAAATGCTCCTGCCCTTGGCGTTTGCCGCCACCCTCATCGCCTTCGTCTTCAGCCTCCTTCTCTATCTGAAGTCCCAGGTAGCTCCTGCCTCGGCCCTGGCACCCGGGGGGAGCTCAGGTGAGAGGGGTCCCAGTGGAGCGTGGATGGAGGCCCATGGGGGCGCCCGCCTGCACGTTCACCCTCTCCTATTCTCCAGGCAATCCCATTTACGACTTTTTCATGGGACGGGAGCTCAACCCGCGCATCTGTTTCTTGGACTTCAAATATTTCTGCGAACTGCGGCCTGGCCTCATCGGCTGGGTATGCTGGGCTTGTCTGAGCGGCTGGGCCAGGGGATGGATGGGAAAGGGAAGTGCTTGGGCAGGTCGGGGCCAAAACGGTGCTAACATTAATCATTCATTCATTCCACAAATATTTGTTGAGTCCACCATTTGCCCTCAGCATGCTCTGGGTAATGGCAGACAAGAGAAAAAAAAGGTACATACAGAAGATTAAAAAAAATAAAATCTGTCCTCATGGAACCTATATTCTAGGTGAGGAAGACAAAAAATAAGTAAAATATATATATAGCATGTCAGGGTGTGATAAGTATAATAAAAAATACCGTAGACAGGGGAAAGAGAGCAAGTGTGATTTTAAAATAAAGCAGTCGAGCACAGACTATGTCCGGGGAGGAGGGAGTGGTCACTTGCTGCTTGGTGGGTCATGGCAGAGCAGAAGCGAGAACTGAAACCTCCGTCACTGGCGACCTTGACAACATTCCAACCGTGTTCTTTGGCTGTCATCGCCCAGGCTGGATTTTGGCTAAGGTTTCCCAAAAGCCTCTAGGGCAAGGTCTTTCATATCACCCGGAAAATGACCTCATCCGGGGCTGGGAGGAGCCAGGCACCCATCCTGGATCTGGATCCTGGCCTGACCTTGGGCCTCCAAGGTGGTTTCCTCATCTGTGAATAAGGTAAAACGAGCTTTTTCCTAAAATGACTGTGAAGATTAGAAAGGTAATCTAATGACAGCACCAAGCCACCCCCCGCCCGCCACCCCAAAGGAAAAAAAACAAACCTGTTGCCATCGAGTCACTTCTGAGTGACCTTACAGAGTAGAACTGCCCCACAGGGTTTCCAAGGAGTGGCTGGTGGATTCGAACTGCTGACCTTCTGGTTAGCAGCCGAACAGTTTACTACACTACAGGGATCTGCACCAAGCCCGGTGCCATAAGCCCAGTGCCACTAAATGCAGGTGCTCAGTGCAGGCTGGCTCCCAGCCAACTATCCCTGAGCACTGACCATGTGCCAGAGACACACTGCTTAGTGCTTCCCTCGCATTATGTCATTTAGTCCTCAGACAGCTCCAAGAAGCAAACACATCATGATCCCCGTTTTCTACATGGGGACACATTAGACTTTGGAGAGGGTAAGTGACCTGTCCAAGTGGTGAAGCTGAGATTCAAGGCCAAGTCTGTCCTAACTCTGGAGCCCAATTGTCCAACTCCTCTCCCAGAGGACACCCTATAGAACAGGGCGAGACAAAATGGGCTGGGAGCACCTGCAGAGGCGGCCACTGCAGTCCCTGTGACCCAGGTACAAAACCTGGACACATTTAATGAAGGGCTGGAGAGTGAATGACTGACAGCTGAGAGAAGGAGCGAGGCTGGCCGCTGCCCCGCCCAGGTGCTGCCACCTCTGTGTATCCAGGCTGGGGTCAGACTGTCCTGTCTCCCCCACCCCCTCAGGTCCTCATCAACCTGGCCCTGCTGGTTCAAGAGGCAGAGCTGCGGGGCAGTCCCTCATTGGCCATGTGGTTGGTCAATGGCTTCCAGCTACTCTATGTGGGTGATGCTCTTTGGCACGAGGTGAGGCTGGACTAGCCAGGGGTGGCAGGGGAGGGTGTCAGAGGACCTCATGGGGATTAAGCTGAGGTATCTGGGTCCTGTCCCTGCAGGAGGCCGTCCTTACCACCATGGACATCACACATGATGGGTTTGGCTTCATGCTGGTCTTTGGGGACTTAGCCTGGGTACCCTTCACCTACAGCCTGCAGGCCCAGTTCCTGGTGCACCATCCACAGGCCCTGGGGCTGCCCATGGCCTCCACCATCTGCCTCATCAACGGTCAGTCAGGAAGGGGAGCAGGCTGGGCCCACCATTCCCCTCCCCCTTTCATTCATTGTTCAGCACCCAATGGGGAGACATTAAGTCTCAAGTGCTTCTCTAAAGCCAGGGGCTGGGTCCTGGGTCTCCAGGCCAGCTGCATCTGGGCTGGAAACAAGAGTGGGTGTATGGTCAGGGTCAGACAGAGGCTATGACCCTGGACCCTGACCACTCTTCCCCTTCCCTTCCCCCTCCCTCCCCCAACAGCTATTGGTTACTACATCTTCCGTGGGGCCAATTCCCAGAAAAACACCTTCCGAAAGAATCCTTCTGACCCCAGAGTGGCTGGTGAGCTGGGGCTCTAGGGTGCCATGGGTGAGGCAGGGAATTTGGGCTTCTTGGGAGCACCCACCACTACCTGTCTCTCCCCAGACCTCGAGACCATCTCTACAGCCACGGGGCGGCAGCTGCTGGTGTCTGGGTGGTGGGGTATGGTCCGCCATCCCAACTACCTTGGAGACCTCATCATGGCTCTGGCCTGGTCCCTGCCCTGCGGTGAGTGGGCTGGGTGGGTACAGGGTGGGTGTGAGGGCCAGAAGTACAGTGGGGACCACAGGATGCCTCATCTGGGTATAGTCAGGAGTCTGGGGATGGACCCAGCATGTGGCTAGGGCACAGGCTTCTGTGCCAGCCTGGCACTGCCAGGGCCTTGCCGCATGCCCTGGACAACGCCTTATAACTTTGTGAGCCCTAGGGTGTGGAAACCCTTTGAACTGGAGGGCTTGCTGGGTGGTCACGGAGCCCATCCTCCCCACAGGGGCTTCCCACTTGCTGCCCTACTTCTACCTCCTCTACTTCACTTCGCTGCTGGTGCACCGGGAGGCACATGATGAGCGGCAGTGCCTGCAGAAGTATGGTTTGGCCTGGCATGAGTACTGCCGGCGTGTGCCTTACCGCATCGTGCCCTACATCTACTGAGGTGGCACACCCACTCCAGATCAGGGCAGATGCCCACCCATCCACCAGCACCAGGAGCCGGGACACACCCTACCCTCCCTGAGCTCCACCAGTGCCAAGGGAGGTGGGGACGAAAAGCCTCAGAGAAGAGGTGGTTTGGAGCAAGGAGAAAAATGGAGCCAGTGTCCAAAAAAAGGAAGTTGAGGGGGCAGCACTGCTCTTCCTCTGTGGATAAATGTCTGGATCCCTTGGTGTGGCTTCTCTCCCATTCTGGGGCTGGGGTGTTTATAACCAGCTGGGGAGAGACCGATGTGGTTTGTGGGCCTGAGAGTCTGGAGTTAAGTGGGGGCAACAAGGCAGACCAGTCACAGCTTTATTAACGACAAAGGGTCCCCAGTTCAGCCAGGGAGCTCCTCAATGAGAGTTCTCGGGGCAGGTGGCATGGGGCCTCCCCAGAGCCGCTCCACCTCCCCAGTGAGGGCTGCCATCTCCTCAGCCGCCACAGCATGAGCTCGGTGAGTCCTGGCGCAGTCTAGGGCCAGGGGTGTGAGGGCCGCCTCGTTTTCGTTGGTCCAGGCCAGCAGGAACTGGCACTTCTTCCGGGCCCGGTACAGGCGATCTCGCTCTTCCGCAGCCATGGTCCGTTTGCGGGCCCGGCCCAGGATCTGCGCCAGGTGCCCCAGTGCTGCCAGCGTGTAGCCTTTCTGGCTGGCTGGGCCCTCGCCCAGCAGGATGCGGGCGGTCTCCTGCATGGCGCCGCGTGTGCCCAGGGGCCCAGGCGGGTGCTCACCCGTCTCCAGCGCGTGGACTGCGGCCAGCAGGGCTTCCTCGGCAGAGGCGAAGACTTGCTGGGCGCCCAAGGCCCCCGAAACGCCGAGCAGCGTGGCACAGAAGTCGGAGAGCAGCGCATCGTCGCCGCCATGATACAGGGCGAGGGTGTGCGCGTAAGCGAACAGCACGTTGGGCAGCTGGAAGCGCACGAGCGGCGAGGCCGGGCCGCGGCTCAGACTGGCCAGCGCGGGGATGCGGGCGGGAACTGAGGGCGCGCCCACCCCCGGGGCGTCTTCGAGAACAGGCTCAGCGGCCTCGGGCTCCGCGGCGGCGGCAGCATCCTTCGCGGGTTCCAGCGGGGTCCTCGCAAGGGCAGGCTCCAACTCCGCGGCGTCACTGCCGGGCGCGTCATCCAGCTCCTGAAGAAGCCGCGGCTCGGCCCCGCGGGCCCACCACCACGGCTGCCACGGGGGCAGCAGCCGCCCGGCCTCGCCGCGACTCAGCAGCTGTTCGAAGGCCGCCTTCTCGGCCGGGCTCAGCCGCTCCCAGAGGCCTGAGAGGCCGCCAGGCGCCGGGCCAGGGGTGAGGCCTGCTTCCTCGGGCTCATCCTCGGTCTCGCGTTGCTGACGCAGGCGGCGTAGTGCGCTTGCCAGGCGGCTGGGCGAGGCGGTACGGCCTCGGAGCTCGCCCAGCACCTGGTCGCGGTAAAAGTCTTCGGCGCAGGTCCCATGTGCCCGGTAACAGCGCAGGGAACAGTAAGGCACATTACAGCGCGGGCAGGTGTAGCGCGCTGCCTGGGCCTCCCCGACTGGGCAGAAACCACAGGGCCGTGCCGGCTCCATGGCAACTAGCGCCACTAGCCAACCGCGAACGCACAAGGCCGCTAGTTCTTCGGTTACTTCCGGCGCTTCTTCGGTTACTTCCGTCTCTTTGCAGGGGCGAACGAACGCTTAGCCAAAGCTCACCCGAGGACTTTCGGCAATTCCCGCCCACACTCGGGAACCAAACCTCACCCCTCTCTCAAGCGGCGAGTGGGCAGGCGCAGAAGCCGGGCGTGACGTACAAGCTCCGCCCCTTACAGCGGAGCTTAGAGAAGAAAACGCATCTGGTGGGCGCCCCGCCGGTACTAGCTCGGCGGCTAGTGGTTGCGCCGAAACGTGGCCCTCCCCCCCCCCCGCCCCCATGATTGCCTGAAAATATAAAGCTACCCTTGTAATGGGGCACTGATGGCTCAGTAGTTGAGAGCTATGGCTATTGACAAAAAAAGGTCGGCAGTTCGAATCTACCAGCTGCTCCTTGAAAACCCTATTGGGGCCGTTCTACTCTGCCCTATAGGGTCGCTCGCTGTGAGTCGTAATCGACTGGATGGCAATGGGTTTTCGTTTTTCTGGTTACCTTTGTGATGCTATAAAGTACTGTGGCCAAAACCAATCTTCGCTAAGCACCTACTCTGGGCCATTAATTGTGCCAGGCCTATGGGAGATTAAGATGAGATGCGGCCAGTCTACTAAGGCATAAAGACAAAGGGGCCACTACAAAGAAAGGCCCAGATGGGGCACCTGAGCCCAGCCTGAATGTGTCGGGGGCATCTCCTCTCTTCAGCGAAAAGCAACATTTAACAAGTATCTGAGCTCCTGTTTGATTCTCTTCTAAACTCGCCCCTTCTTTTCTGTCTTCTCATTAAATATCACAATTGTTCACCCAGCTGCACTTATTAAGTGCACTCCATACTGGGTACCAAGAATGTAATGGGGAGCAAAACGAGATGGGGCCCCTGCCCAAATAGAGCTTATAGGAGAGTGAACTGCCAAGAACCATGTCAAGCGCTGGAAGACTTGACCCATGGCATGCCTGAAAGTAAGCCCTGGTCCTTCCTTTCTTTTCACCCCGGACCCAACGCCACTTCTTATCCGTTCTGTCTCCAAAATAACTTGGCATTTATCTGGATATGGGTCATCTATTTCAACACCAAGATTTGAATGACGTTAACTTTCAAATCCCTCCACTTCTTTACATCCACGGTCTCCGGAGGTCTAAGCTGCCCCCTCACCTGGATGTCAATGCCTTATCTGGTATCTTAACTTTCTTGTAAGCCCCCCAGGAAATCAGCCAGAAAAAGTAACAGATCACAACTGAGATCACATAAGTCCCTTGCTCAGAGTCCTTCCATGGCCCCCTCTTGCAGTTGGGGTGAACACCAAACTCCTCTCCATGACTGACAAGGCCCTGCAGGCTTCGCCACCCTCTCGCAGCTGTCACTTACTTGTCTCTGCCTTTGCAGTGTTCTTTTGGCTGCAACCTTCCCCATCTTCTCACTCGATTGGCTCACACATTCTATCTTCAGAAACCTCGAGATACTCACCTTTTCTTTCATCATAGCACGCTGCTTACCTTCTTTGAGACTATTAACGTCTACTTTATTCCCATTTTCTCCACAAGAATCTAAGCTCCTAGAGGGCAGGGGGTCATGTCTTACTTTTTCTTTTTTTTTAAATCTTAATCGCTAAAAACAAAAATAGCCAATATTTGCACTTACAATACACTAGGTGCTGATCTAAGCACTTTACATCCTTTAATCCTCATAGCAACTCTCAATAGATTAAATGTGTAGCTGGTTCAAGTTCAGACAGGAAGTAGAGCCAGGATCACTCAGGCAGTCCAAGTCCAGAGTTTAAGGTCTTTTACCATTGTATCCTGGTATGCTGTATCCCAAGAACCAGCAGATTCAAAAACTTCAGCTGAACGATGAGTGGGCATATGGATGCACTGGAAGCCTCAGTTGCCAGAAGGAACGTTGATTCAGCCCCAAAGGAGCTCTGCTCCTGGAATGCTGAAACAATCAACTACCCAAAGATGGCTCTGATTAGATTAGCAAGGCCAGTGAGCCAGTCACAGGCACAAACAAGGTCACCCATTGCCAGGGTGCCAGTGTAATCAGGCAAAATACCAAAGCTAAGGCCACTAGGTTCCTCCCTGGACTCTACCAAGCCCACAGCTGAATTCAACTTCAAGGAAGGGCCAGATCAGCGTTCCCCAATTTTCTATCCTCCATTGCTGCCTCCTAACAAACCTCCCACCATAATGATTCCTTCTCTGTTAAAAATGGAATGAAACCAGTACTTGGAAGAATTATTATGTGGGATCTGGAGTCTCCCCAGCTCTACATCTGAAGGGCTGACAGCTGTGGTTACTGCTTCTCACAGAAACCTTGCTCTTGTAGTTTACCCCCTCTTTTCCTCAGACCAAGGGCTTCTGTCTTTTCCTCACTCAACGCCTCCCAGAAATGAGGCCTCACTGCTCTTCTAGGTGGCACACCAACCAACCAGCCCTAGAAGCCATCTTCCCCCTGAGACCCTGCAAATGAAGATGAATCAATGAGATGGCTGGGCTAAATGGCTTTATTAGAGCGAGTTAGGATTACAAAGGGCTTACGAGTTGGCATTGGGGCCCTTCTTCTTGCCGAAGGTGGGCACGACATTGACAAAACGCCGGTTGTACTGCATCCGCCGCTTGGCCCGGCCGGTCTTCTTCTTCTTCTTCTCCTGCTTAGCCACCTAAAAAAGAGGGGAGCTGATGAAACCCAGGCTGACATCTTACGTGGAACCCCTTTCTTCAGCCTCATCACCCAGGAGGGGGAAGGCAGACAGGGCCAAAGTCAAGGGGCTTGGCTTAGCTGCGACAGGAGACAACGAAGGACACCACTCACACTCTCACTTACCTTGGGAGTCTGACCTCTCACTTTCCCAGCACGAGCCAGAGAACCATGGACTTTGCCTGTGATGGAAAACAAAGACAGTGAACAGTTAGGAGAGCAAGAAGCCCCCCTCCCTCAACCCAAGCCTTTAGGGGCAAGCTGGGCCCAACGGAAAACGAGAAAGAAGCTGTAGAGATTTGACCTCTGACCAAGAATGTGCTGATGCGGCACATTCTGGGGTTTCAAATCAGGGTCTTCCAGCCCCCGATTTTAAACAAGAAGTGGAAAGTGGCTTAGGGATCTGGTCTGGCCTAATTTTAGTGGGGAAATTGAGAGTTAGACAAAGTTCTGATAAGTACCTAACCTAGAACTATACTCTGGCTCAGTCTCCCGTGAACCTCTCTGGAGTTCCACCTGAGGGAGGCAAACAGGAAGAATGACACTGGAAAGCACTATCTATACGGCCACAGAAATGACACTAAGCTTCCAAGACTACACACTCTACACCCATTAACAGCTTACAGGCAGTTCAGTGGACACTCCTCCCCAACTCACCTCCAAGCATGCGACCAGCTACTTCCAGAGTGGTCAGGGCCTCCACCCCACACTGACCCAGGGTAGCCTCATCCTCCAGGGGCGTGCCTGCCAGGAGCACAACCTGATCTTCCGGGGAGATGCCCTCCAGAGACGCTACATGAGCCTACGGACAACATGAGGTCGTAAGCATTCCCGCGGCGGGTGAATGTGGGGAGCACAAAGATATAGAGCCCAGGAAGCACCACACAGCCTTACCTTGATCTGGGCGACCGTCTCCTGGCCGGTCACCTCGAGGGTGTGTAGCTCCTGGGCGCGAACAAAGAGCTGCATGACGGCGACTAAAGAATAAAAGAAGGATTGTAACAGAAGAGGAGAAAATGCTCTAGGCAGGAGCGGGTCGGGAAATGGGTGTCGGGTCGCAGACAATCGAACCACGGCGGAGGTGGCCGGGGGTTTCACGTGGGGAAGGCCGGGCCTACCGGAGAGGTCAGGTGGGACTCGGAGCCAGGCTCACAGGGCAGCCCTGTTCCTCCATCTCCCCCGCGCCCTGTGAGCTCGCAGCCAACCCGCCACTAGGCCCTCCGGACCCAGCCGCGGCCCAAGTCTTACCTGAAATGTGACCCCTGCTGCCGCTACGGCGAAGATGGAGCCGAGAAAGAGGAAGAAGCGAGAGCGCGCACGCCCTCACCGACCGCTGCGTGTTACGTCACTGCTGAGCGACCGCGCGTTACTCTCACACTTATACCGCCCAGGGCGGTCCTGGCCCCGCCCCTTAAGGCGTTCTTCCCGTCCCAGGCGGCGCGCGCAGGAAGGGGCGGGGCTAGGTGGGTTGTGCGCACTGAAGGCTAGCGTTGGTGGCAGGCCGAGATGGCAGCGACCGTGTTCCGGTCTGCGCTGTGGGGCTGGAGAACCGGCGTCCAGCCGAGCTGCGGGCTACGGCACCTGGTGAGACAGGCTGAGGGCAGAAACCGGGGTGTGAGGCTCACTGTTATTCATTGTAACCCTGAAAACCGCATTCGTCCTTACGGCCTTAGTTTTCCCGTCTGATTGGGGTCATTTGCCTGGAGCTTAGGTGCAAGACTGAGAAAGGGTTGCACGGCCTGTTGGCTTCGAGAGCGTGGAGATGGGAACCAGGCAGGAGGATAGCCCGAGTTAGTCAGAACTTCCCAGGCTTTCGAAGGGGAAACCTTCTGGGGTAGGAGCCGACCCCAGATCAATGGTGACACTTCGGGGAACTCAAGGCTCTTGATACGCAGGCCACTTCATCCTGCTTCCCTGCTGTCGTTGTAACCCCCTGACCTATCAGGACTTCGGGGTGTCTGTTGGGAGAAGTGTGCAAAAGGAGCTTTGGGCTGAAAGGATGGGAGGACGGATTCTGGAGTGTGACCTTCAAATCAAAACCAAAGCCATTACCCTCGAGTCGAGTCGAGTCGATTCCGACTCATAGCGACCCTATAGGACAGAGTAGAACTGCCCCATAGGGTTTCCAAGGCTATAATCTTTACGGAAGCAGACTGCCATATCTTCCTCCCGAGGAGCTGCTGGTGGGTTCGAACCACTGACCTTCAAGTTAGCAACCGAGTGCTTAACTACTGTGCCACCAGGACTCCCTAGTGTCACCTTAGGTACTGTTACGGCTTTTTTTTTTTTTAATACGTTAATCTCTCTTGGGTATAAAACGGGGTGATAAAATACCTACCTTGTCGAGCCGTAAGAATTAAGTGAAAACAATACCCGTAAAACACTTAGTACAGTGCCAAAACTTTCCAGGAAGGGGGTCCTACCGTGTGAGTGTGGATAGGGCATTACCAGGATTGCTGTAAGTGCCCAGAACCACAATATTTCCACAGAATGTTCAGAGAAAACTTCAAAATACTGAAAAATGTCATATTGGTCAGATGTGGTTAATTGGCTTTTCAGAAGTACGTAGGTCATGTTTGTAAGGGAGGCAGGCCAGAGTGCCTGACCTCTTCCAGTCCTACCTGTACTATGCACTCTGGTCAAAGTCTGGTGCTTTCCTACCTCCAGCCTTTTCTTTATGCCCTTCTCTCTGCCTGTTATATTTTCTTCCTCTACTTAATAATGTTCTGCCCATTCTGTGGTGGGTGATGCATAGGGGGGCGGGTGGCAGAGTGGCTGATGGAGAGATGTTTTTTTGTGCGTGTTTTCTTTTTTTGCCTCAGAGCCAAGTCCAGGGGCCTCCTGATTACCCCAGCTTCGTGGAATCTGTGGATGAATACCATTTTGTGGAGCGCCTGTTACCCCCTACCCGCATCCCAGAGCCCCCAAAGCACAAACATTATCCCACTCCCAGTGGCTGGCAGCCCCCTCAAGGTAAGCTGGGTGATGGGAGTGGCTTGAAGGCTGAGGGAAGCATCCTCCCCAGTGGTCTGCCTGCCCCACTGGCAGCTGAGGCTCTGGATTCCCCTGTGGGTTCAGGACCTGTTGAGGTCCTTCAGGGCTGACATCTGTCTCATGCCAAAGGGCAGGCCCAGGAGTGCATCCTTCTGTTTCACTGGTACCCATCCACACTGTTTGGCTGGGGACCTTCCCAGATGGAGGAAAGTGAAGCACATTGAGAAGACCCAAGAACTTGGGTCCCCTCCCCCGCAGTAGGCCGTATACCATAATTGAGAGCACAAGCTTGGAAGTCAGGCAGTTCTGGGTTTGCATTTGGCCGTACTCTTCATTGCTGGTGTGACTCTGTCACTTCGTTTCTCCCAACCCCACTTTGAGCAAAATGGAGATAATGTGTCTGCTTGGCACATAAAGCACTTCGTGCAGAGCCAGCATACGGTAGATGTTCAGTGCTTGTAAATCCCCTTCCTTTTGTGTCAGAGGTTGATTTTAGCCTCTTTGACCCAGTGGAGAAGGGCAAAGATTGGCCCCAAGGGGGACCGGGAAGACCCCAGAGGCCATGGCCCTGACTTCATTCACTCCGTAGAGATTTGTTGAGCACCTACTTGGTGCCAGGCCCTAAGCTGGGCATTGGGATACCAGGGTGAACACACGGGGCCTGGCTTTCTACTTGGAGAAACAGGAGGCTCAGGCCTGGGGTCTGGAGGCAGCGTGGTCCAATCGGGTGCACTGATCATCTGAGGGGAAGGGCCCTTGGCTGAGGTGGGGTGAGGCTTGGGAGGAGTTGGCTTATTGCTGTCCCTGCATCACAGACCCCCCACCTAACCTGCCCTACTTTGTGCGACGCTCTCGGATGCACAACATCCCTGTCTACAAAGATATCACACATGGTAACCGCCAGATGACTGTAATCCGGAAGGTGGAGGGGGACATCTGGGTAAGTGGTTCAGGGTCTGGTCCTGACCCTTTCAGGGCTGAGGGGCTGGGAGCCCAGGAGGCTGGGACTGCCTTCCCTGTCCTCCAGAAGGGAGGTGCTCTGGCCAGGCCTGACTGGTTTTTTTTTCCCTCAGGCCCTGCAGAAGGATGTGGAGGATTTCCTGAGCCCGCTGCTGGGGAAGATGCCCGTCACTCAGGTCAATGAGGTGACAGGTACCCTGCGGGTCAAGGGCTACTTTGACCAGCAGCTCAAAGCCTGGCTCCTGGAGAAGGGCTTCTGAAGCCCAGCTGAGCAGCCTGCACGACAGCGTCCTCTACAGACTGGAGTCCAGGGGACCTCAGGGGAAGGGATGGGTGCTGGAGCTGCTGGGGTAGAGGCCAGGGCTAAGGGCATGGGCCAGCAGAGTGTGAGGGCAAAAGGGCCTCAGGGTCAGGCCTTATTTGCACAAAGGGAGAACCGGGATCCTCTACCTAGGTGGCAGGACTGGGGAGGGCTCTCTACATTGGAGACCCACCAGGAACAGCTGAGCTAGTGGCCTGTTCCTGCTTTTCCTTTATTGGGGCTCATTGGGCTCAGCTATTTAATTCTGGGGTGGTAGTGACTGCCCTCTGGTAGGAGTAGCCCACCCAGTTTAGAGGAGGGGGTAGCACAGGGCAGACCAGTTGGGTGTGTTTATTTCCCTGCCCTCCCCAGCTCACTGCTGCAAACATTCCTGAACCCCTGCTCTAGGCCACATCTGGCTTGGTTGGAGGCCACGGAGAATACAGATTACTCAGGCAGGGCTCCTGGAGGTCTTAGTGTCCATGTGCACCCCTGGGCATGGAGAGAGTGAAGGCCCAGTTGGGGTCCTTATTCTATTCCAGAGCAGAGTAGAGCCTGACCAGCTTTCCAGGATCCTGGAAACAAGCTCCAGCCAGTGAAGTGGTTTGCTTTGGTTGGCCTGACCACGATGGGGTGGTTGGGAGTTCCAGGACTCCAGCACAGGGCTACCCTCCCAATATCAAGGCTGGACAGGGTGTTTGCAGGCAGGAAGATGGACTTTTGCCCATGTTATCCCATCCCACGCCAAGCCAGCTAGCTTTCACACTTGCCCACCCTTGGAGTTACAGGGGACAAAGGCCTGAGTTCCATCTCCACCCTACCCCAGCCCATCCCAGCACCCAACTGGCTAAGACAGGGTTCAGATCCTGGCACACCACCGCCCCTCCCCCCCCCAACTTGATCTCTGACCTAAGGCAAGGTACTTAACCTCCTGGGGCTCAGTTTCTTCGTGTGGAAAACGGGTGTATCTTAGTTTACCGATCAACACTGTCCAAGGACAGTGGTGTGCCCAAGTTTCCCTCTTGGAAACTCCAAGCCATTCTCCAGTCTACAGCCTCAGCAATGAATCGGGGCCCAACACACCAATCCTATGATGCCAACCCCACCAGTCGTTAATGCAAGTTTTTATTTGGTTGTATACACCATTAAGCTATTAAAATTTGTACAGTATTTACAAATTAAATAATCATCTGAAACTGTCTCCAGCAACTCTTGTAACACAAAACTGAGGGGAAAAAGGATGCGGGTAGGCAGACCTGGGCTCCTGTGGTCCCTCCCTGGCCTGGAGCCTTTTCTCAACTGCACAGACCAGGAGCCTGGCACTCCTGCTCCTCCTTCCTGGGGTCAAGCATTCAAATTCAAAAGACAGCGTTTAAGCCAAAAGACACTAGGAAGGAAGGAATTCCAATTCTTCTCAAGAAGTCCTGCAGGTCAAGAAATGGCCTTCCTCTGATGCTGGGGTTTGCAATGGTTAAGAGCAGACGCACTAGTCCTCAGCCCGCAGGGAGGCTGGGCAGTGGCTGCTGGGTGAGACCAGGTCAGTCTCCACTGGAGAAGCGGCACGGGGAGAGGAACCTGGGGGAGGGGCGGGGCAGGGTCCCTCAGTGCTGCCTGCCTGCCCCCCACCCCCAGGCACTCCTTTCCCTGAGTTGTGTGGTTGCCAGTAAGACACGGAAATGCCACAGGGCATAGGGGGCACAGCCACCACAAGAGGTTTCTGGGGAAATGGGGTAAGAAAAGGAAATCAGTACCAGTCTTGGTGGGTGGGCCAGGGAGCAAGATCCTGGCCTGCCTCCAGCCCTTCTGGAGTCCACACTGAGGAACGGGAGCTAATACTGTTCGGCACTGCAGCGTGACTCTGCATACACAAGTAGGGCTCGGAGGGGCTGCCCCTTCTCCCAGAAAGGGATGGGGAGTAAGAGCTTCACAGAGGCTGAGCCTTTCTGCCCTCACGGCCCAGCCAGGCCCCAGCAGAACACAGGGCTGAAGAGTGGGAGGAGGGCTGGGACTGACCCGAGATCCCCATGGCTGTCTGGGAACGGATGCCTGGAGTCAGCCGGGGACCCAGGCCTCTTTCTGCTTGGCTAGGGTAGGCCATCTCCTCTTTTTCAGAGCTGGGGGCTACTTCTCCCTGGTGCAGATAGAGAGGGAGCTGGCACTTGGTGGCAGGACGTGTTCCAGCGAGGGCTGCTCGAGAGAGCGGGGGCAGGGACTGGGCCTGGGGCAGTGTCAGTGGGCAACAGGGGACTCCAACTTTTGTAGGCGGCGGCGGCGGAGCTCTGCTGCGTCAGGCTCCCCATCTTCCGGCAGCTCCTCAGTGCCCACTGACTCTGGAGCTGAGGATAGAAGAGTCACAAGTGGAACCTGAAGAGTCCATCACCCCACCCCGCTGGGGGCTGACCACACGTACCTGGAGGCTTTTCAGGCTCAGGGGCAGGTGGGGAGGCTCCAGGGGATGGGGTGGTGGCCTCGGAGCTGGGAATGCTAGTGGAGGAGGCAGCAGCGACAACTGTAGGAGCAGCCTCCTCAGTGGGGCTGACTGACGTGGCAGGCCTGGGGGGCCTAGGAAGAGGAAAGAGGTGGGCGCCGTCTTGGCATCCTGGGCTGGGCAGATTCTCCCAGCCCTTGGTGAGTCTGGCAGGGCTGAGTCCAGCACTGAACTGCCTAGTGACCAGCAGACACCGGGAATGGGTACTGACTGGATTCCCAGACGTGGCAACTCAAGGGCTGAATGGCTGCAGACCACAGATGATGAGCCACTTGCGGGCAGGGGCCTTGTTCACTGTTAAGCTGCAGTCTCCACTCGGGTGCCAGGCACCTTAGAGGGTGGCCACCTATCACATACTGTCAGTCACAGTGCTCAGCCTCAGCCTCCAGCTCCACACAGCCTGTGCTGTTACTGTGGGGTGCCAGGCACACTGTACGTGTTACCACAAACAGGAATTACAGCTCTCTTTTCAAATAAGGTAATGGAGTCACAGAGCCAGCGAGTCAGGGGGCCAGGACTAGACCTCAGGCCAGGCTGGCTCTAAGTGACTTTCTCATTTGCCATCCCATTCCAGGGGCAGTGATCCCCAGGCACAGTGTCACCACCTCTGTAGGAGGGTGTTACCCGAGGAACTAAAGCACTAGGACTATGGATGCTTTGACTTCAAAAAAATATAAACACAATTCCAGGTCAGTGCTCTAATAATAAAGGACCACCCCCACTTCCTTGCATCCAAACATGCTTTCTGAAGTGGGAGGAGAAGAGGCGCTGGGAGTCACCAAGAACTCCGAGACCCTGGGATGCAGACAGGTGTCACAGGTTGGCAGGGAGACAAAGGCCAAGAGCCACTGCTGGGGCCTCCTCTCGGCAGTTCAGCCAGCATCCCCAAGTGCACCCCGTCCCCCGTGAGACGCACCCTAGGGAGGCAAGCACGGTGAGGTACTGGTTGATCTGCAGCATGGCAGCATCCAGCAGCGTGTGGATATTCCGCAGGCTCTGCAGCCGGGCCTCCAGATGCTGCCGCTCGTGGCCCTCCAGAGCCCGCAGCTCCTCGGGGGTCAGCCCAGCAAAGCCCGCAGGGGGCACAGGCATTGGGGGGAAGGCTGCGGAGAGGTAGCAGCTCAGCCTGGCTGCTGGGCCAGGCATACCCTCCCGCTCCAGAACACCCCGCAAGAGCAGCCTGACTTACCAAAGGGGGGAGGCAGGGGCATACCCATCCAGGGGGGAGGGAAGGGGAAGCCTGGGGTGGGGCCAGCCTCAGGGGCAGGGACGGAACCAGGTGCCGGGGCAGAGGCTCCAGCAACAGTAGGGCCTGCAGCTGTGGTCGTGGCTGCTCCACTGGGCCGAGAAAGGGCTGCTGAAGAACAAGAATGAGAAGTCAGTGAGTCCTGCAGGGCCTCTGGTTCTATCCCTCTCCCTCACCAGCTGTCACATTACCCAAAAGGCTTACCTGCACTTGTGGTTGGAGGGGCCGCAGCCTCTCCTGAGCTGGGAGGTGGCGGGACAGGTGGGAAGGGGCCCATGGGGGGCCACAACGGGAACATGCCTGGAGGAAAAGGAGGCAGGAGGCCCTGGGGGACTGTGGAGAGAAGACAGGGTGGAAAAAAAAGGCCAAAATGAGATAGACCCAACTCCCAGACAGGGTCTTGGCTGTTGAGAGCTGTCTCTGCAGCCCCAAGCCCCTGAGCTTGCCTCCAACCCAGCAGGATCACACAGGACTGCCACCCCTTTCTGGTCTATTCACCCACTCATGCCCATGCTGTGAGCTGCCGGAAGGCAGGGACTGTATCCCATTCACCTCAGCCTCTCCCATACCCAGCCCAGGGCGAGGCCCAGTGGTGTGTTGGATGGCCAGACAAGGGGGGCACTCACAGTTAGGGGGCTGGGGCAGGAGTGGTGGGGGGTGGGGGGCAGGGGGTGGCCCCTGGTCCGCAGGCTCGGGGGGTGGTGGTGACTGGGCTGGCAGCGATGCCCGAAGAACGTCCATGCGGCAAGTAGGGCAGGTCTGTTGCCGCTGGAACCAGGAGCGCAGGCAGCTGGGAGCCAAGAGCAGGCGGGGGTCAGCAGGTCCCCAGGGGCTGCCTCCAAGGCCTGTCGTCGATGTGCAGGCTCCCCAGGGCCCCCCCACCTGGTGTGGAAAATGTGGTTGCAGGGGAGCCTCTTGGCACCAGTCACCATCTCTTCCCGGCAGATGATGCAGACGTTGTCCACTGCCTGGAGTTCCTCTGGGGTGGCATCTGGATACCTGGTTAGGACCGGGGATGAGTCAGGACCATAACTGCAGGCAGGGGGACCCAGGGCAGAGCTTGAGAGAGCAGCCAGGACAGGCCCACTTACAGTGTGTTCATGTTGCGGATGGCTCGGCGAGACATGATGGCGTCTGTCACAGCTTTCTTGAACTGCCTGAAAGGACAGTTTGGGTGGAAGGAGGGGGAGGGATCAGGTAGGGGCCAGAAGGGACGGGGGAGCAGGGCTGGGCTCACCTCATGGCCAGGTACATGGGCCGGATGGCAAAGAGTGGGAAGGTGTGCACCTTGATCATGATGGTCATGAAGGCCATGTACAGCAGAACCTTGATGAAGCCTGGGGGTGGGGGGGTAGAGACAGCAGAGGGTCACCAGCTTGGAGACAGAGTCTGGGACACTGGTCCAGGTCAGGGGGTCCAGGATCCTCTCACCTGTGAACAGCTCCGTGTAGAGCATGTACACGGCCTTGTTATCCCAGGGGTTCTCGCTCTGGAGGTCCACGGAGTGCAGCACATACTTGATGAAGATGGTGAGCACCATAGTCATCAGGATGGCATACTGGAGGAAGGAGCATGGGGCATAAGCACAAGGGACCCCTTGCTCCAGCCACACTCTGCTACACCCAGACCTCTGCACACCAGGGGACAATGGTTACGAACACAGGCTCTGGACATGGACAGCCAGGGTCCTCTCGCTCCTCCACTTACTAGCTGGTGTGACTTTAGGTAACTCACTGAACCTCTCACCTTTCGGTTTGCTTGTCTGCCAAATGACAGAATGAGATGTTCCTTTATAACAACGTTTTGCCGATTAAACGAAGCAAGTCAAATGCTCAGGACAGGGCCTGGCACATGGTAAGCACACAAAAGAAAGCAAACAAATGTGAACTGTCATCTTTGGACACTCTCTCTCTGCCAGGGGCACACCTCCCCAACTGTCCGTCAAGCAAATTCTCTCCTGTCCATCAACAGTTAGCTCTGGCATCACCTCCAGGAAGCCTCCCCTGAGCACCCAGGCCAGGGGTCCTCCTCCATACCGCCTCTTTTTGTGTCTTCCCCAATTACCCAGGAGTGAGCTCATGGGAGGGGCTGGCCACAGAGCAGGTGCTTAGTAAGGGTTTGTTGGGTTATTCAAGGCAGATACAGCATCACCTCAGGCTTGTCCCTCCGACCTCCCAAGACAGTTTTACCTCAAAGCCAAATACCAGCTGCACAGAAGCCCCACGGGTCAGGATGCTGTGATAGGCGTGGCTGACGAAGAGGAAGTCCAGGATACCCAGAAGGAACATGAGGGCTGTGGGGACCCCCCAAAATTGGGGGTGGGTGGGGTCAGCCCAGGGCCTGACAGTCCCTTCCTGCTCTAGGACACCTCCTGCTCCAAACTCACCAAGGCCCCAGCCATGGTCGTCACGCTCCACCAAACCCAGCCCCCTGGGAACTCTAGTTCTGCCTCAGGGGGCACTAGGGCAGCCCAAGCTCCAGGTGAGCAGAGCTGAGGGCCTAGGCAGTTAGGCCCTGGAGTGGAACAGGATGGAGAGATATGCAAATTAACTTCCTAAATTATCTTTCCTGTACAGCTGTGGGCAAAAGGGGCAGCCTGTGCTCTGGGGTACAGGCCCATAGTTAGTGACTTCTGACATTCCAATCCTCCATGTGCCTCTTCTCCCTCCAGCTCCCTCCCCTATTTCCTGAGAATCTCACTCACAGACAATGCGGCAGTGAAAGAGCCAGGAGATATTGGGGCTGCGTTCCATCTGAGGCAGAGCAGAGAGGTGGTCCATTAGGGAAGCTGGGGTTCACCCCACCTCCCTAACTCAGCCCTCACTCCTCCACAAGCCTGCCCACCAGCCACTCCCTGGTTTGTATCTGTTCCAGAGAAGCCCCTGACCAAACTCACAAAGTCCACACGGTCCTCAGCCAGCCAGTGGAAACACTTAAGGAAGAGGAGGAGAGTGAAGAGCGCAACAAAGCGAGGGCTGAAGTCGTCCCGGAAGACAGTGAAGGCCAGACAAGTCTCAGTGACAGCATACCAGGAACGTTCCAGGAGGTGCTGGGGATTGGGCAGAGAGTGCTGTGGAACCAACATTCAGCTGGCCCAGCTCTCTGCCCCTCACCTTTGGGGCTGCTACCATCTTACCTCCATCTCTGCTGCTCTCAGCTGCCCAAAGAACACCTTGCCCATCACCTTGCCCAAGAGGAAGACAAGGACAAAGGCCTGGATGTACAGGACCTAGGGGTGGGGAGAAGCTGTGGTTTGAAGTCACGTCTGCTTCCCTCTGCCTGGAGCTCCTCGTTCAGGAACCTCCCAACATCCTCAACACAATTTCTTTAAAGTTAAGCAGTTGGTGGCTACTTCCTCTCTCCCCTACTTACCTGACCTCTAGCCCCGCCCCCATCCCAGGACAACTCCTCCTTCCCTCCCAGGGAGTGCCTCCCCTGAGTCCTGAACTCACTGCCATGCTGGGGCTGGACTTGGTCAAGTACACCACAGTGGGATAGAACTGGTGCTTGAGGTAGTAGGCATGAGCCACCACGGCTCCGGTCAGCGCCAGGCTGGCCGCCATCATCACTGCGGTGCGGAACATCGCCCTGGCCCGAAGACCTACACGGAGAAAGGAAGGCAACTAACAGCTGATAGCCATGGTGTGCAAGCCCAGCACAGCACCTGACACACATGGCAACTATAGGGAAAAGAAAAATTTCACTTCACCCCCACAGATCCAGAAGAGTCCATGCTCCCCAGTTTACAGATAAGAAGCTTGCGACTGGGAAGGGTTAAGTGACAACACTGACGCAAGGCCTGGAACCTGGGCCAGTCTTGCTTCAAATCTAGGGCTCTTTCCACGCTGCCTGCCAAGCCGCCTCCTTTAGGGAGGCAATGGGGAAAGGCAGTCGAGTTGGAGGAGGAGGGAACTGCCACCGCCGGCCCTCAAGTGAAGATGCCGGGGTGGGCTGCGAAAGCCGAACCTGCTCTAGAGGTGGGAACACGGGGCCTGGGCAGAGAAGAGGCAAGGCACAGGGGGCGCAGTCCGGCAGTCAGAGGCGCCGGTGACAGCTCTGCCAGGGTGGGCAGCTCGGACGCGCGCCCTGCGAGAGTGGGCGGGGTACGTCAGCCTGGAACCCTGGCTGCCCCCAGCCCCGGGGCAGTGTCAACTCTGGGCACCCGAGAAACGGCCGCAGGAAGGGGTGCAGTGGTTGGACTGAGGGGGGGCCGGGTCGCCCGCGCAGCCGCGCACCTGTGAGCACCAGGAGTTGAGAGAGCCGCAGGCAAGGGCCCAGCCTCTGGGGAGCGGCCGAGCCGGCGCCTAAGGTCTACAGCCAGCTGACAGGCCGAAAGCAGAGGCAGGGCTGAGGGGGCGGGCTGACCTCAGAGTCCTCTAGGAGAAAATCCAGGCCCCAACCCCAACCCAGGCCCGACCCTGCTCACTCACCAGCAGCACAGCGCCGCGCGGCCACTCAATCCGGCGACTGCTGCGGCCGCTCCGGTTAACAACACTCCCACCCCCTGCGAACCGGAACTTCGAGGGGTAAGACACCTCACTTCCGGCGGCGCGGGGCGCGGCGTGGGTCGTACCAAGTGCAACCTTCCCTTGCCTGCCCAGCGCCCTTTCCATGGTGCCGGGAGCAATTAGTCTCACTGCAGATGGTATTCTTGTCGTGGGAGAGGGCTGAACAGGAAATGGGAGAGGTGGTCTGAGCGGATCAGGGCAAGCTGGGAGTTTAGAGTCCCCCTATTTATTAGTCACACATGGTATCGTCTCTACCTCTCTGAGTGGACTTAACCTAGCGGAGGACTCTAGCGTTCACAGATGCTGGGTGGTTGGTGGCGCACTATGGGGCCGTACCACTCGGAAGGGGGAGTATGCAAAGGACAGACTTTACAAGTGTAAGAGAAAGAAAATGTTTTAGAGTTTCCTTCTAGAGGCATTCCTAACAGTTTGATAAACAAACTGCTTTCCAGGAGAACTGGGTGCAGAAAACAAAAAATTACCTCCTTCAAGCTCCCCCCCAAGTTGTGTGGGAATGAGTTGGGTCCCCGTGGCTGCTATTGATTGGTCGCAATAGAGTTACGCGGACCAATAAGAAGGAGAAAGGAAATTTGTTGGTTGTTAAGAGCTCGGCTGCTAAGCAAAAGGTCGGCAGTTCGAATCCACCAGCCGCTCCTTAGAAACACTACGGGGCAGTTCAGCTCTGTCCTTTGGGGTCACTAAGGGTCGAAATCGACTCGACGGCAACGGGTTTTATAGGAAGAGAAAAGGTGAGTAGTTGCCAGGGGCGGAAAGCAGCGTTGTCTAGGACTTAGACTTACCGTAGCTAGCAGGGAGTGGGGAAAGCGCAATCGCGGGGCCGGTGATACTTACCCACCCTTGGGGAGCGTTTGCCGCGCCTCGAAAGGGGAGGGACAGCCAGGCGTGCCAGGGACTGGGGAGGAGAGAGGCCTTTAATTCCAGCTAACCTTGGGACAGGAGTGTTCTGTGCAAAAGGATTGACTTTTCCCTCACCGTGCCTACAGCTTTGCTCTCCTCTTTGTATTGTTCAAGGAGCTCTGGTGGCAGCAGTCGTCAAGTGGAAAGATCAGCGTTTCAACCCTCCAGCCCTCCGCGGGTGAAAGATATGGCATTCGGCTGCTATAAAGATTACCGTCTTGGAAACCCTATGGGACAGTTCTCTGTTCTGTAGGGTCGCTATGTGTCGAATCAACTCGACGGCAACGGGTTTGGGTTTGTACTGTTCAGTGCTGGGCCAGAGCCACAGCTCCCACCAGCCTGGGCTGCGGGGTATTTCAGTTTATGCCTGGTTCGCAGCCAACCCAGTCGGCTCATTGACAGAATGGCGCTAATACACCCACGTTGTGCCTTATCATCTCATTTAACTTGTTGTTGTTAGGTGCCATCGAGTCGGTTCCGACTCATAGCGACCCCTTGTACAACAGAACGAAATATTGCCCGGTTCTGCGCCATCCTCGCAATCGTTGTTATGCTTGAGCCCATTGTTGGCAGCCACTGTGTCATTCCATCTTGTTGAGGGTCTTCCTCTTTTTCGATGACCCTCTACTTTACCAAGGCTGCTATTCATAAGGTTTTCATTGGCTAATTCTTTTCAGAAGCAGACTGCTGGGTCCTTCTTCCTAGTCTGTCTTAGTCTGGAAGCTCAGCTGAAATCTGTCTGCCATGGGTGACCCTGCTGGTATTTGAATACCGGTGGAATAGCTTCCAGCATCACAGCAACACGCAAGCCCCCACAGTACGACAAACTGACAGATTGATTTAACTACTGATCATCAAAGTCCTATGAACTAGGTGGTGCTAACCCCACTTTATACGTGCGACAGTTGAGGTTCAGAAACTTGACAAGACCTATCCTGGGATTGGCGCCTGGCGGTTCTGACTAGAAATCCCCATGCTGTTGGTCTCAGCCACCTTCACCGCCACCTGTTGACCTGACATGGCCTGACAGCCACTGTGTTGCCCGCCCACCCCCCT